AAGGGGTTCCAGACCTTCAGTTTCTCTAAGTCTGGTCTTGGCAATCTCACTGGGGTCTCCAGAAATGTGAGGTATATGCCAGAGAAGACTACTTGGACATGGGTTCAAACCCATAAAAAGTCTTTATTAGCTGGCCAGCAATGACCCTGGGTGTTTGGAATCCCAGTGTCACATGAGATTTTCTCAAAGTGGACATTTAAGAACAAAAATCACATTCTGGGTTGACACACCTTATTAGCAAGAATTGTTAGCCAGAAGCACAATTACAGAAGCCAAAAAGCAAGGTTTGTACACCTAGGGACTTTCCCAGAGTCCGGGACTTTGATAGGTTATGTCTTTATTCTCATTTTAGCAGGTGTTGCTACCTATTTGGATTCAAAGCCTGAATGGTTCTTCCGTCATGACATCAGTTGTGCTAAGGTCTGGTGGTCTGTTGCACTGATACTAAATTGACGGAAGCAAGCTACTGGCTTCATTGTTTTCCTGGGTGTCTTTTCAGTACAGTCGTAAGTGTAATAATCTATGATTTGGGGCTTTGTTGTTTTCAAACAATATCCTAATAGTGTTTTGAATGAGATAGCTCAAAAGCTCACGTGCATGAATACTTGGTCCCCAGTTGGTAGAACTGCTTAGGAAGGATTAGCAGGTGTGGCTTGGTAGAGGAAGTGTGTCTTGGGAGTGGTTTTGAGGATTCAAAGACTCTAGCCACTTCCAGTTAACTCTCTCTGTCTTCTACTTCTAGACCAAGATGGGAATGCTCAGCTGTTCCTTCCTCAAGTTCTTGTTCTAACCCTCTGGAACTGTAAGCCCTAAATTAAACACTCAGGTTCATAAGTTGCCTTGGTCCCCTATATTATTACAGCAACAGAAAAGTAGGTAAGACAGTTCAAAATGGCAGCACCTGGTACCCGGGCTGTGTGACTTTGTGTCATATTTCCAATTAGGTTCCCAGTGCTTCCTAAGTATGAAGCCATCAAGGTACTTTATGAGCTTGGCTGAAAAACTATTTCTTGTTTTTCTCGATGATGCTTGATTATCCTTATAGTTTTAACATTCCAGTAATAGAAAAAAAAACAACAAAAATCAAGTCTTTTGAGTTTGCACATTCTTTGTCAGGAAGCATGATAAATTCTAGACACATCCATTGTGATGATTTCCAAGATTAGACTGATTTCTGAATCCTCAGTTGTCTCGAAGACTGGAATGTTCCCCCTTTGTCAGTAACAGATGAGACCTGATGCTGCCCTTCACTAAGTCAGGTGATTGTGAAAGGCAGGGAGAGGAAACCCCACTTGCCAGACCTCACTTAGCTTTGCTTCATCTGAGCAAAGAAAGGCATTGTGACTAAATGAATAGCCTTCATAGTTAGCATGGTGGTTAATGTTGTCAACTTGACAGCACCCGAAATTGCCTAGGAGACATGCCCCTAGGAACACCCATGGAGGATTATTAGTTTATTAGAACTATTATATAAAGCATTACTAGGTTAGGTTAACCTCTGGTCATGCCTGTGAGGGACTGTTTTGATTTAGTTGAGGTGGGGAGATCCATCCATTATGGGTGACTGGCATACTGTACTGGATACGATGGGGGAAGTGACCTGAGTATTAGCATCATCTGCTCCCTGACTGCAGTCACAGTTCAACCAGCTCTCAAACTCCTGCTGTCTTGACTTTCCTTGATGGAGTTCCTTGCAGCTATAAAACAAAGTGCACCTTTCTTCCTTAGATGTTGCTTGTGTAAGAGTATTTAATCCCAGCAACAGAGAAGCAAGAAAGACAAATAGTTTTTTCTTAAGCTGGATGGGTAGTGTGTATTAAAACCCGTCATAACCTCAATCAGGAACTGTAACTTATTATCTAGGAAAACTGGGAATGTAGGGGAAGAGAAAACACTGGGCTCAGAGAGCTTCTCCTTTCCTGGATGGTTTATGGGAGCACTGAGACTCAGAAGCAGAAAGTTGTGAACTGCAAGGGACCTGAAAGGACACAAACCCAGCCCCATGGTGGGATCCCTGAGGAGTCACATGGTGGATATCTCGAGTCACAGTGGGATCCCATGAGCTCCACCTCCTCAGCACTGGGCAGTTATTTCCTCTCTCCTTGCTGTCTGAATCCAGTTCCATCTTGCCTGCCTCTTCCCGACATGTGTGATGGTAGCAAGACTTTGATCTCTCATGCTTCTACGCTCTTCCCTTTGTATTGATGCCCACACTGCTTGTTAAAAAGACACCTTGCAGTGATGCATTCACTCCTGAGACTATCCTATAGCCAAATTGTGACTTTGAATAACTCAACCTTAAGCACTTGGATTCTGCTGTGCCTAGCATTAACTTTGTTCACATTTGAAGGTCACGCTTCTCTGGGCCTGCACATACAGAGTCTTTGTGTCTCCCTTCAAGTGAAAAACCAAAACACAAAACACACAGAAAAAAACAAAACATAAACTACCTTTCCTGTAATAAAGTGGGACCCACATTAGGGGAGCCCAGGGCCAGGCAGTTTTGAAATTCATCATCCTTAGCTGGGAGCTAGGGTCCAGTATAGAGACTGGTACAGAGAGCTGCCCCAGGCCAGACACAACTATCTTCATGTTCTCTGGTGCCCCTGCCTGCCACAGTCACAGTTCACTCTCCTGTGTGACCCTCACCACCAGACTGCCCTCATTCCAGAGCCTCCAGTTACTAGCAGGCAGAGCCTCCCAGAACTCCAACCCCTCCAGCTGACCCGCCCATTACCTCACGGTGAGAAACCTACCACTCTTTCAGCCTCTTCTCCTGCAAGCTTTGGTCTTAAGTCCCACACTTCTTCCAAATGGAGCTACTAAGCCTGGACAGGCTGCCCTCGTTTGTGCCTGCATTCTTCTACATTTCTGTCCTTCAGACCCAAAACTTGGCCTTGGTGCCTCTCCTCTTGTTTTCTCAGTCCAGTTCTAGAATCTTTTCAAAAATACTTTCATGTAGAAGGAATACTTATTGTTGTCTGTTACACAGAGAAACCCTGTCTCCAAAAACCAAAAAAAAAAAAAAAAAAAGAAGAAGAAGAAAAAGAAAATGAATACTTATTGTCTCAAATTTTGGAAAACACAGGAAATTATCAGTGGACAAGAGCAACTATGGTTCATGCTTTCTTTGATTCATTTTTGCAAGATATTTTTGTGTATATATTTATTGGTCATCATAAAGTAGTTTGTAGCCTGTTTTTATCATTTAGTGTTACATGATAAATTTTCTCCTTAGTTTATGTTAGTTGACAAAAAACCTTTTAAAATAGTTATATGCTTAGTGAATATATTATATGTAAATCAAGGTATATTTGAAGTTTTGTTTGTTTAGACCTTATTCTTGTAGTTTCTTTCCTTTTCTCTTTCTTCTACTTAAAGTAAGGCTACAATTTTTAAAAATATAGTTCTGGCAGTATCTCTATTTCTCCTTTTGGAGCAAAATTCAAGAGTGGAAATACTGGTACCCCAGGTCTTCTCAGACTTCTGTCACTTGCTAAGGCTGCTACCAGGAAAGGTATGTAGAAACTCACTCACCAGAGGTTTGTGAATATTTACACTGCAATAACCTTCTGAATTTTGCAAGTCACAGTGTTTTCTGTTTAGTCCTCCATCATTTAATTCACATTTGTGCATTTCTTTGGTGAGGCTGAATGATTTTCTACATTTCTGGACTCTATGCGTTCCCTCTTCTGAGGACTGCCTTTGAGTGTCCTTTTCAGTTTTCAGTTGAGGTTGACTTGTCTACCCATCTCCAGTATTTTAATGAAACATCTGCTCCCTGGGAAGTTCTTTGGACAGGTCCACATTTGGCCCTCCATGCACTGCATGGAAACATTTACTACCCAGAGTTGCCAGTGGTGTTACAACCTTTACATACAGTCTTGTCTCCCTCCAGTGGGCAATGAGCAACTAGCAACTAGTACCTGACCGTTCCCTAGGCACAAAACCTGTGTCGAAGATTTACTGTTGCACCGATGATTTACTGAATTAATGATAAATTAGGGAGGGTCCCTGTGCAGTACCTGGACATGGATTTCATCAGAGCAGTTTGTCAGCATTTCATGAAAGGCAACAGGAGCAATAAGCTCTTGGATGAGCTTGGGAAATTTTTCTTAAGGTAATGTAAGTGCCATAGGACTTAGAAAAGTTCACACTTGCAGGGCTAGAAATTGAAATATTGCTGACAATTGTTTGCTCATAAAAAATCAGATGTTTGTCTTTTATCTCAAGAAACAATTTCCTCCACAAAATATTATAAAATTAAATTTGTTTATTCATCTGGAGTGTTATTAAATTATCTGGACAATTGCCCTAGCATACCTTCTAAAAGTAGGACACAAAAAAGATGTACTTCCTCAGGAAAAGGAAAAATAAGGCCTCATTAATATTTAACATAGAAATGAAAGCCAAACCAAAACCAACTGTGTTTCTCATTGAGTTATACCCTCAAATTATACTTCCTATATCCCTAATTTGGCCTTTTCACAGTTTTGTCATAAAATATGTATACATATAATGTGTCAAATACACACACACACACACACACACACACACACACACACACACACACACACTACCATCTCTGAGAGCTCAGAAAAACCAGAGGAGAGAAAAGTGGGTTTTCTATTAAAACAGAAGTGAGCTCTTCTTGTCTTTGGAAGGCACTTCAGCTGGAGGCCTTGAGACCATCTCAAAATCTGAGTGGTTAGGGTGCACAGGGACTAGAGAAGTCTCTCGTGTTCCCATCTGTTGATTTCAATAGTGAAAGCTCTTGCTGTGAGGAGGAACTAGAACTTTCTGTCCCCCTGCAAGGGCCTCCCCTTTCTCTTTTGGGCACAGTGTTGCTGAGCTGTGAAAACGCAGGTGTAATTAAAGTCTCCAAGTGTCGTCCTGAGCCACACTCTGATTCTGCAAGCACTCCTCACAGGGAATTTCATAGTGAAGGAAACTGCAATGGGCAGGTGTGAAGGCCAGTGCCATCACCCTCCACAGAGGCTAAGTCCTGGGTGGGCCTCTTCCTGTGCTAAATGCCCTGTGAGTTCACACAGCTGAAATCGTAAATAATACAGCTGTGTGGTAAGTCACACTCCAGTGTTTTTCCAAGAAACAAACCCCTTTCTCCAAAGAATTCATCAATGTAATAAGTGAGGCTCCATGAATTGATAGTTTTAGAATCAATACCCACATTACTGATTCCCACTGACATTGCTGCCTCCATCTGCAAGAGCCCAGACTTCCAAACACCACAATTTTCTTTGTTCCATTTTGAGTTGTGGGTCCTAGATACAACATGCCTCATGTATACCACACGGGAGTTGTACATCTTCACCCGAGGCCAGTGAGCTCCCTGAGATGGTCTCCCCAGATGCCTGACCTCGACTGGTTTCCCAATTCACTTCTCTGAACAATATCTATAAATTTTATTCTTAGCCCATTTGACAAAAACAAACAAACCCCCAAACAAACAACAAAAAAACTGGAGCAATTATGCTACAAAATAAGTTAGGTTTTACTAAAACACGACAAAACATATTGTGAGCAATTGCTAGGCTTGTTTAAGAATACCCACCATAAAATTTATAAACAGACAATGGTATTTCTACCATATTTAAGTAAAAATCCACAGTTCTCAAGACTGCTCTAAAAATTTAGGGCCACCAGGTATAAATGTTGGGACAATTAATATCATTGCTATAATGCTTTTTTGTTTTGTTTTGTTTTTACGATACAGGGTTTCTCTGTATTGTTTTGGAGGCTGTGGGTCCAGCCCAGCCTTGAACTCACAGAGACCCGCCTGCCTCTGCCTCCCGAGTGCTGGGATTAACGTCGTGCGCCACCACCGCCCAGCTGCTATAATGCTTTTAACAGTGTTTACAACATGCACATTTTAGTTACTGTCAATAGTATGATATTTTAAACTGGACCAAAATGATTTATGGATACAGATTGACAACCTATTGTTAAATCAGATACATGCTTTAGTTATGGGAGATATTTTAAAATCTACTTTTGATATTTTCAAGTGTGTCTGTGTGCGGTTTTATGCACATGAGTTGCAGGTGCCCATGGAGGACTGTGTCATCTACTCCCCTAGAGCTGGAGTTACAGACAGCTGTGGACCACCTGAATGGGCGCTGAGACTCAAACCCAGGTTCCTGGAAGAGCAGTGCATGCTCTTAAGTGCCAAGCCATCTCTTCACTCCCAGAGGACGTAATCTTTAAAGATTGTATTGTAGGGATTTTCTAATCGTGGTTCTTTGAGTGTGTGGTACATTTTCAGCTTACCAGAGCACTCAGGTCTCACAAAGTGGATTCCGTTTTAGATTGGTAGGAATGGCTGTGCCAGTTTCTGAAAACCAGAGGTCTTATGAAGATCTTGTGAAATAACATCCGGAATACTGGCGTCCTGAAAATGATGAAAATCCAGGGGTCCACGATTGAAATCACAGACAGAAACCGCAAGGCCTGGAGATCTCCCGAGTCTCCTTCAGTTGTGGTAACACGTTTGAAGGCTCCATAGTAAGCACGATACTGTGGGGAAAATACAAAGAAAACCCAAAACATTACACAGGTGAGGACTTAGAAGGCAGATGGAGGGAATGAATTCCACTGCTTAGCCTGGAGTTCTCACTCTGTGGCTGGTGGATGTGGATGAGGATCTGTGAAAGTGGGGAAACTGAGTTACAGCTGGGAGACCCATCTGACTCGCTCCCTGAAGGCTGCTCCCCATCCTGGTCTCAGGTTTCCAGGACGCTGCCAGATAATGAAGACAGCACCAGGCTTCACACAGAGACACTTTAACTAGTGTCCTTACATGCACACTTTATTCAGCTGCCTACTTTCTGTCCACTCTTACTATTAGAAGTAACTGCCACACCTAGGGACACACCAACAGATGGAGCTTTGAATGGAAGTAAAAAGACAGGAACTATGAGGATAAAAACACACAAAGTGACTTGATGAAAGAAATAGTTACCACATGTAAATTCTTCCTTTAAATTGTTCATGAAAATTGGTTTTTTTTGAGACAGGGTTTCTCTGTGTAACATCTTTGGCTGTCTTGGAACTCTTTGTAGACCAGTCTGGCCTAGAACTCACAGAGATCCACTTGCCTCTGCCTCCCAAATGCTGGTATTAAACTTGTGTATCACCAATACCTGGCTGTAAATTGTTCCTTTTATTAAGATAGATTCTATATAAGATGCTGGGAGGGGCTACCCCAAAATAGATGCCTATTCACCTGTGTCCAGCTGCCTCCTATGCCCTGATCTCACCAGGGGTTCCTGTAGTTTCCTCAGAGCTCTGCCAAGTGCCTCAAGTCATGACTCCCTGTCATTCAGGTCACACTGCTGCCTAGATCAGCACAACCTCAGAACACCATAGTGAGGCTGGATACCTTTTCTTTTGGCATCACCCTTCCCATGCCTACTGCGTTTCTAAATCCATTAGGAAACAAACTGACCCTAATGGAACAGAAACTACATAAATCCATTATTGGTAGGGGAAACTGTGCCTAAGAGTACTCGAGGCCACCTAGAAGCATCTCTCCGAGAAGATGCACATTCCTAGAATCAGTCTCCTTATGTTGACTCCCTTCTCTACAACATTGCAGTAGTCTTGGCTATTTCAGTCCAGTGCATTTGGAAGATGTTTACACAGGTTCCTCTGTTATTGATAAATGGACACCCTTTCTCCTCATCCTTGCTTCTTAATGCCAACAGCAGTAATAATGGCTGATGTCCACATAGAACCTTCAACTCCCAGGCATTATTCTAAGACTTTTTGAAATTTTCATTTTCTCTTTAGAAAAGTCTTCTGAGTAAAGACAGTCATTATCTCTATTTTACAAGACTGGAAATGGATTAAATAGCCAAACAGTTCTTAAAACTGACTTCAAATATTACCCCTTTTAGGAACCTCTTTGAGACATGGGCTAAAGGTCTAAGGTTCCAGGTTGGAATCCCCTCTTCAGATGTGTGGCTTCAGGGAAGATGTTGCTTTCTTATTTTTACAAAAACGGTCACTGTGTCAGCTTTCCAGGATTCTTGCAAAGATAGAATGAGACAGTGTGAAGAAATCTGCAGGAACAGGCTCTGGTATATAATAAATGCTGGATAATTAGCTTGCAAATTATTTTTTTAACTAGGAGTTGCCCATTTCCTCTGCTACACTGTTCTTTAGCCTTAGTTATTACCCTTCCCTTACATCTTATTCCAGCACTGGGATGTTCTCATTTGGTATCTCACTGAGTTACAGAGTGTGTTGGATGAGGGAGGTACCAGATATGTTTCATTGATGTGTTTTATATTTGTTAATTTTCTCCTCAGAGAAGAGGTGAAATGTAATTCCAACCAATGCAAAAATGTTTGGTAATGGAATGGTATGTGTATAATTAAAACAAAACATTTTATCCTTTGTAATTAAAATATATTTTATTATTTTGTGTGTTTATGGTTGTGACACCATAGCACACATGTGAAAAATCAGAGGATAACTTGTGGGGGTTGGTTATCTCCTTCCATCATGTGTTTTCTGGGAATAGAACTGAGACCAGCAGGCTTGGCAGCAAATACCTTTACCTGCTGGGCCATCTTGCACACCAAGCTATTTTCTTTCTATGCAGTACTTATCTATGGCAATTCTACTATGTTATCTTTAATTTTACTTAGTTTTTTCTTCAAAGCTGGGGATTGAACACAGGACTTCATACAAGTCCTCGGCCAATACTCTGTCATTGAGATAAACCTCTAGTCTATTTATCTGCATATTCAAGCCATTGCAGCTGTTATTACAAGTAAATTATTCTACAACTGGGAATTTTCAGTTGGCTCAATTTACATTAAGAACATCCACATAGAGTTTGGAGAGAAGGCTCAGTAGCTAAGAGTATTTATTGCTCTTTCAGAGAGCCCAAGTCTGGTTCCAGCACCTATGTGGGATAGCCTACAATTGCCAGTAACTCCAGTGCCCTCTTCTGGCTTCTGCAGGCATCACAGGCACAGCCCCTAACCATATATACATAATTAAAACATAAAAATATTTTCAAATATAAAAAGAGCATTCATTTGAAAGAGTGCCCTCAGATGAGGTTAGGAGTCATTGAGAAGATGCTTCTGTTGCCAGCTTGGTGGCTTTTTACATTTGTGCTGGGATTCAAACTCAGGCCCTCACGTTACTGGCAATACCATACAACTACATTTTATAAGCTTCTTAAGTTTACTGCATGTGATTGATACAGATTCAGACACTATTCATTTAAATACAGGTTGTATGGGTCCTTTGTAATTCTTAAGAGTATTAAGAAGTCCCTAGACCATAAAAAGTTTGAGAACTGCTTCTAGGATAGCACACCGTCTCCTGAGGCGATCATACTTGCTGATTAATTTGCAATAACAATAAATGAGACCCACAATTAATAACAATACTGATAGCAGTTAGTGAAGCTAGGCATTGGGTTCTGTGACATGTGCATGAACACACACACACACACACAAACAAACACACACATGTATTCCAAATTGTTTGGGACTAGATAGGTTTTTGTTTTCCCTCAGAATGTGTAATATGTGCACCCATCAAGACACTGGTGTAGAATGCAGCCCTCCACAGGCACCTCTGTCCTGAGATGCATGTCTTACACACCTGTGGTCTGACACAGGCACCCTGTCTGGACTCCAGCCTTTCACTTGAAATCATGTGTGGGAATTTTCCACTTATGGCAGGACATTCATGCTCAAAACATTTTAGCCTGTGAAGCATTTGGGATTCTGCTCAAGAATGCTCACTGTGGGCTGGGGGAATGGCTCAGCGGGTAAAACCCCTGCTGTGAAAGCTTGGGGATCAAAGTTTGAATCTCTAGAGTCCATAAAGCTCATATCAAGGCACATCTGCGATCCCACTACTCACATAATGTCCTGGTTGGGTTTTGTCAACATGACAGAAGTTAGGGTCATCTGAGAAGAGGAACCTCAACTGAGAAAATGCCTCAGGGCTGTAGGCTCGCCCGCCCGTGGGGGCATTTGTTAACTAGTGGTTGACAGGGGAGGGCTCACCCCATTGTGTGTGGTGCCACCTGTGGGCAGGTGTATAAGAGAGCTGACTGAGAAGCCATGGAGGGAAAGCCCAGTAAGCAGTGTCCTCCATGGTGTCTGGTTCAGTTTGTGTCTCCAGGTTCCTGCTGGCATCCTGCCCTGGCTTTTCCACTAGTCTCTGATGTGGACCTGCAAGCTGAAATCAGCTCTTTCCTCCCCGAGTTGCTTTTGGCCATGGTGTTTATCGCAGCAACAGAAACACAGCAAGATAGGAGGCTGCTGGCCAGCGGGTCTGGCACATACCAGCAAACAAAGAGTCACGTGTCAATCAAAGTGTCAGGTGAGGATCAATGTCTGAGGCTGCTTCCTCGTGTGCATCACGAAAAGCACATGCCTGTGCTCATATAGGTGTGTGCACACACATGACACACAGAGAGATGAAATCTCAGTGTTGTGATTTTTAGCCTTTGTCAATCCTACACAGCTCCAGATGAGGTCAGACAGCAAATAATCCACTACCACAGTCATTGAGTGCTAAACTTGACCCAGAACGACAATCATGGAGAGATCCCTTCGTCCTTCTAGGAAATGATGGCTCCTGTGAGGAATGCTGTCTGGCTTGCACTTATCCAGGACTTTATAAATTGTTTTATCAAATTGGTTTCAAGTATCTTGGTTCCTTTAATTCTAACACGTCCATAAGATAACATGGCTCTCCTTAGAGATGTGTCCAAGGGCTGTGTTTGTTCCATTGTTCACAGTTTCCTGATTTAATCACATTAAAGCATCCAGAAGCTGCTTCAGATTTCCATGGACCTAGCCACGGCTTGCTGTCATCAGAGCACAGGTAAGCTCCAACGGATCTGGAGCTTTTTGGTTAAGGGCTGTAAAGTAAATGCTTCAGGTTTTCTAGTCCAAGGGAACAAATAATGAATGTTCAGCAGACACTAATATAACCAGAAAACACACATACCCCCACAACTATTATTTATTATTTTATGTCTATGGGTGTTTTGTCTGCATATATGTCCGTGTACCACACGTGTGCCTAGGACTTCTGGAGCCAGAAGAGGGGTCCCCAGATGGTCATGAGCTGTTATGTGAACTAAGAAATTAGAGACGCAATAACAATAACTGGGTGCAACTTTTAAGTACAGTTCTAATAGGAAGAATTTGATTCTTTGTTTGTTTGTTTGTTTTTACGAGACAGGCTTTCTCTGTATTGTTTTGGAGGGTATTGGTCCAGCCAGGCCTCCAACTCACAGAGATCCGCCTGCCTCTGCCTCCCAAGTGCTGGGATAAAAGGCGTGCACCACCACTGCCAGGCGGAATTTGATTCTTTTTAAAAAATTGAATAGTGCTTAGTTTAATTGGGGCTCTAAACTGATGACAAATATTCATTTCAGTTTGGGAACTGCCAACTTAGGTTGTTTAAATGCTACACCTGGAGCAGCTCCTTCATTCAGCCTCTGCCATCTTCTTGTTGTAATTTGGAACCCAAGTTAATGAGATTCTTTGCCATCTCATTGGCCAAGATTGAAACTAAACCCTCAGGACAGATGAGGGCACAACCTGCCACCTGTAACCCCTCCCCCTCTGCTTTCACCATGCCCCCCTCAAGGGCAGCGCAGCTGCAGGCACAAACCTAGAGTTTTCAGAACTAAATCTGTGTTTATTGCTCATTTCTGTAAGCCACTCTGGATGAACTAACCCCTTTCCCTATGCCAAAATCCAGAGAGGAGCTCCCAGACAAGTCCGTTTCCAACACCTCTGAATTAAAAGGCAGATCTAACAAAATAAAATACATCGCTGGTGCGGGGGTCGGGGAGTAGAGGAGTAAGGTCTTGGCACACAGATGACTAGAGAACTCACAGACCTGAGCAGAGAGGATGGGGCATCTGGCAGTCGGAGAATGTTGTACTGAGTCTCTCTAACCTTTTGTCCAATATTCCCTCTTCTCCCTCTACAAATGAGGTCATACCTTAGGGCTGGGAAGGAATTTGCTCTCCTGGAGTGTTGAGCACAGAATCAATCCCCCACCCCTACCCCGTCCCCAGCCAGAATGGGAGAGCAGCATCCCTCCCTCTCCCAACTTCCCACTGGGCCTAGCCCGAGGCGCTCAGTTTTCCAACTTTGGGGCCCAGCAACTCACAATAAAAGGCAGGGAACACACAGTGAAGAGCACTGTCATCAGAGCCAGCAGCAGGAGGTGGTCCAGCTCCTCCAGGGGATGCAGGGACTCTTGCCTGTGACCTGAGCCTGTCTGGGAGTGGTCCCTGAGGCAGCAGCGAGGGTGGCGCCTCAGGCGCCTGTGCATGGTATAGAGGTTGTGCATGGCACCCAGGTTGCAGAGCACGGTAGCCAGGACCAGCAGCGCCATGAGGCTGGAGTAGAGCACGGAGAAGCCGAGAACCGACAGCGAGCGCTTCTCATGGACCATCTGGATGAAGCACCAGGTGCCTGGGCAGTACTGCACGAACTTCCCAAAGCCAGCGAAGGGGAGTGCACAGAAAGCCAAGCAGAAGGCTCCCACAATAGGAGCCACCAGCACTCCCCTGCGCAGGGTAATGTGCCTTTGGTAGAAGAAGGGATGTCCCAGAGACAGCCAGCACTCCAGCGCCATAGCCAGCAGCTGTAACGTCGAGGCTAGTCCAAAGAAGGACATAATGAAGGCGAAGGCTTGACATAACTTACTGCTCCCGGCAGGCAACAGTTCCTGTAGGCTCCGGTTTTGCGCATAGGCAGCCAGAACCACCGGGCTGATTAGACACTTGCCCAGCAAGTCTGTGACCGTCAAGCCGCACACTAGCACGTAGAAGACCGAGGGTAGAGGGCGCTGTGGCCGCGGCCGGCAGGACCCCAGGCCAGATCGTGCCAGCAGCACCAGCGCCAGCAGGTTGCCCAGCAGTCCTGCACTGAAGAGCAAGCCGCCCATTGTCGCCGAGGAGCCCTTTTCCACCCAGCGAGATGCCTGGCAGCGGTAGAAGGACAAGGAGGCATTCATGGTTCTTGCTGCGTCCAGCTGGAGGGGAGGCCAGGTGTGGAGCACCCCAGGGCCCCTCGGGGCAATGCTCTGCTGGGGCACAGGGAAGTTACAACAAAGAAAGATCAGCAGGCGGCTGGGTATTGTTCACAGTCAGTCCTCCTATCTGAGATTCCGGGTCACACCCCTGGAGGAGGGCGGGACACTGCTATAAGTATCGCAGCGGGGGGGGGCGGGGGGGGGCGGCTCTGCTGAGAGCTCTTCCTGATGCACAGGGTCCCAGGAGAGACAGATCCTAACCCAGAGTCAGAAGGAGAGGAGAAAGTATCCAGGATCTGAACACCCCAGGCTGGCCCTTCAGAGCAGGCAACAGAACTGCAGACAGAAAGGGAACCGAGTAGGCACCAACAGAGAGAAGGGAAGCAGCAGATGGTGGTAGCCATCAACTCTGCATACAACCAAGCTAGGAGTCTGAGAAAGGGCAATGGTCTATTCTTCTCAGATTTGTGTAAATAACATTGGCGGCACTCCTGAGCCTTGGTTCCCATTCTCTTTCAGATGCCTGCAGTGTGGAGATTGACTATGAGGAGAGAAAAGAGGGGCCTTGGAAATCAGGGGACCTGGTTAGTGTGGCAGGGGTATCCAGTGGCAGTCAGCCAGGCATCAGGAGTTTGTTGAGTCCACCTGTCCCCTTCCATGGCTCCTCTGCCAAGAGGCTGACCAATTTCCAGGCCAGCTTTTTCTGCACATGGAAAACCAAGAGGTGATATGATGTGGGTGCCAGAAACCACCGTGACTGCGTAGCCAGGGTGACAGGGATGTGGTTAAGAGCACTGATGCTGTCATCAGGCCTGGGTTCAAGTCCTGGGTCTGCTGTTACTGTCTGTGTGAACTGGGACATGCTCAGCTTCTCAAACAGCGACATCTCTCCTGGTTGCTTGGTCACTTTGAAGTATGGAGACAAGATATAGAATGTGCCTGGGGAGTCCTTGGTGCATGCAGTTGCCACAATTTTATTGGGGGAAAGCATTTCTTTTTGTTACTTTGTTTTGTTTTGTTGCTAATAGGTAGCTGCAGATTTCAACATGGATTCTGAAACCAGAACATTTGCCTTGTTTTTGAGCATTCCCACTCTTCTGTCCTGTGACTACTGGAGAAAATGTCGTCCTTTCTGGCAGTGGCTTGTCTGCACCAAAACGGGAGGGCATGTTCCCTGGAGATTCCTCATTTAACACTCCTTATCTTGGGACAGAAACTGGCATCCACTGCGGAATTTTAGAGGGGCGATTTGGGCTAAAGTATGTAAGCAAGTAGATTACGCCTTGGCATGAAAAGCTTCATCTGCAGTGCTCTTTGCCTATGCTGATGGACAGGGTCAGGGAGAGGGCAGGTCCTGAGCTTCACATGTGGAATCCTGAAGGGTGGGCAGAGAAGCTACCTCCCACTGAAAGCCTGGCCAGCAATTCAGGCCACAGGAAAGCAGGAGTCCAAGTTGGGAAATTACATAGGACCTTTAGGATTTTGGCTTAGTGTTTCAATCTCTCCGAGATTCAGTGTCCTTATCTCTGTGTTAGGGGACCTCTTTGACCTCATATGATTGCTGTCTGAGGAAAAGTAACAATAAATAATTTGACATGGAGTGGTGACAGTAAAAGCTAACACTGAGAGCCTTGTCTCTGCTGGTAAACCTCTAGGCCATTCAGGGTGCATTTGGGTACATTGACTGTACTACAGAGGTCTTGGTGAGGTCAGTCCTTGTCTATGCTGGACGCCGCTAAGTCAACAGTTCTCAACCTGTGGCTTGTGACCCCCCCAAAGACCATCAGAAAGCACAGATTTTACATTAAAACTTATAAACATAGCAAAATTTCAGAGCAATGGCAATAATTTTATGGTTGGGGTGAGGTCACCACATGAGGAACTGCATAAAAGGGTCACAGCATTAGGAAGGTTGAGAACCACTGCACTGACTCCATGAAGCCCTGCATGGGGTTGGCTCTATGTCTTGTGCCTTCTTTCTCACCCCATCTCCTAGTAAATAATGATGAACTTAGAGGAGCTGCACTTGAGTATTACAGAGCATAAGAGAAGGAGGCCCTATGGCCAATGACGGGAGAATCTGATGAAGGCTGAGTTCTCTTCTATCAAGTTCAGAAATTCACCATTCCCTCTGGTCCCACTGTGGTATTGAGAGGAGTCCCAATAAATTCAGTTTAAGAATCCTGCCATTGAAGGCATTGCTTGAGCATACTCCTGAAGAACACCCACTTTAATTCTTGGTGGCTTCCTCTATTTACCTACATCGTTCTCTTCCCAAAGGTACAGGGCAGAGGGAGAGAGTCCAGTCATGTGTGAGATTGTCCAAAACAACTCCAAATATGAGCTGGGTGTCCCTGATGTCGATTACATGACTTGTTTCAAAGTTTGAAAGTGTGAATGGGTACAATTAAAGAAACCACACGTTTCCTCCTGGACAGCTCAGCTATGCTTTACCATGGGATTTCTGACAGCCTTTCCTGTCTGTTTTCCTATTGTCCACCCTCCACTCTGCACAACTGCAGAGTGGTCAATCCCTGTCCCTAGGAAACCCCATCCAATGATGTCACTGTAGAGCTATGAAAAACTACCGTTTGTTCATGCATCAAATACAGTTTTGACCTCCTACTCCTGCTAAGCACAGGAGAGGGGAGGGTAGGTTCTTAGGCCCTTACTAAAATAGGAAGGTAAACATGCCATGTGACCTTTACAATCTTCTAAGTTTTTACATCAGTTTTCACAGTAAGCAGGACCAAGTCCTGCTTGGAAACTTTTAATTAAAATATCTCATGTTAGAGACCATGTAGACACACTCCTCACACAGCATGTGGTTGGTACAGCATCAGTGACCTGGAAGGAGTTGGGAGGTTTCCTTTGAGGACTAAGTCTCATCTTTGTTCCTGATGATGTCATGTCTATCATCTGTAGATCTCAGTTTCCTTGGGAATGAAGGATCCTTTGTTTTTAGCACACTTTAGAAACCCCTGGGAAGATGGCTCACAGGTAAAGGCACTTCACATGCAAGTCTGACAACATGGGTTTAATCCGTGGAACCCACATAAAGGTGGAAAGGGAGACCTGAGTCCACACAGGAGTCCTCTGACCTCCACACCCATACCGGTCATGGCAATCTCTCCAATGTCGTATACACACAATAGTAAGACTTTTCAAAATTAGAAATACTTAGAAAGATATAAACACAGTCAGGCAGTGGTGGTGAATGCCTTTAATCCCGGCTTTTTGAGGCAGAGGCAGGTGGATGTCTGTGATTTGAGGCCAGCCTGTAGGTGGAGTTTTTCTTTAGGACTGCAGGCTCCCCAGTAATGACAGGGAGACTTATTATTAATTATATTCAGCCAATAGCTTAGGTTTGTTACTAACTAACGCATATTTCTTATCTACACTCTACTACATGGTGGTACGTGTTTTCAGCACTGCATACTCATGTCTTGCTTCCTGTATCTGGTTGGTGAATCCATGCTTCTTCATCCCGTGCCTAGCTATTGGCCATTTAGCCCCTTATTAAACCAATGAGAGCAACAAATATTCACAGTTGTTGGGGAAGTCCTGTGATTATGTCAATAAAGTACTGTTGGCCAATAGGGAAGTTAGATAGGTGGGACTAGGAGTCCAGGAGGACTCTGGGTAGGAGAAACACAGAAAGTCAAGATGTAACGCCATGGGGTAGGAAGCTCGGAAAGTTCTCCGGTAAGAGAAATACTTAGATTAACAATTATGGGGTAATTACTTAAGTCAGAGCTAGCCAGTAAGAAACAAGCAAGGCCAACAGCTTCATAATTAATATAGCCTCCTGTGTGATTATTTGGGACTGATGCGGCTCTGGAACCAGGCTAGCGGGAAGGCTTCTCTTAAGGAAAAAGCTTCCCTTTACACACAGTGTACAAAAAGATTGTTCTACAGCACCAGTGGTCTACAGAGCAAATTCCAGGACATCCAGGACTGTTACACAAAGAAACTCTTTCTCAAAAACCACCTCACCCCTCCAAAAAAAAAAAAGAAAAGAAAAGAAAAAAGAAGATATAAATATTTCTGATGCTTCCACATTGAAACCAGGTCTATCAAATATTTTGAGGGTACTTTCTGAGGGTGCTTCAGAAGTTTTTTCTTTTAATTCCCCCAGTTAATTGCTCTGCCCTGAAAATGTTAAGTACATGCTCTCTGAGGCCCTATAAGCCATGTTAGTTAATGCTTTTATTCTTACCAACTGCACCACAGAAGCTTCCTTCATTCCATTTCTGATAAGGAAAATGATCCGGAGAATATATATATATATATATATATATATATATATATATATATATATTTTTTTTTTTCCCATTGATTCTGAGACATGAGTAGTCTTGGCCAACTTTCCTAACCTTCTGTGCCCTTGAATGAATCAAGATAGGGTTCTCTGTGTGCTTGGCACTGTACTTGAAGAAAACATAATTTTAATTTCCATCTGGATGGAGCTTAAGCCCTTAGGATCAGAATGAAATCTGAACTTGTCTTTGGGAGATGGCACCAGAGTGAATAAATGACTGAACCTTTCATTGCTATCCCAGTTACAGCTGTGGAACCCGCTGATTACTGAGCTGTCAGCAGTTTGGTCCTTGTTCTGAGGAAACTGTTGGCAGCCATGGTTGGTTGGGTTCCCTGCTGAGAAGATGCTGAGCTGGAGATCAGGATAGGGTGTGCAGAGTCTTTTCTTTGAGATTAACACCGGGAGAAGGGAAGGGATAGAATCTGGGCTGACAAAGAAAGAGGACTTGATCCTTCTGGTAAAAGTCCTTTGCTGAACAACCGGAAGCTTAGCCTCATGGCTACATGACTGGTTTTGATTTAGTTGTCTGTAACTCGGTCTCTGAGTCTTGGTTCATCCCTCTGGTGACTCAGGACTCTTCAGATTCTTCTTGGAAGTTCTTTGGTCTTGTTCCAAACCCCATTTACTCACTCTAAGGCTCTGTGAAAAGTCAGCAGTGTTT